CCACATCAAAGGCGGCCCTGCCTGCTAGCCTGCCTGCCGCGGCCTCTCCACTGCCTCCTCCTTCTCCTGGCGGCTCCGGTTGGAGGGAGGCGCTCAGACTCTCGGCGACGGGACCGGCAGCTCCAAAGGGGCAGAGCCCGGGAGACTGGAGCTGGTAAGCGTTAGAAGCCGTCGGAGCTCTGCGCCAGCGAGCAGTGACCCGCGCCGCGGCGCAAAAGGTGCCCGAATTGGGCAGGCAGTGGTCCCCAAGAACGCAGTTAGCTGCGGAACGTCCTCACTCGCCCACATTCCCTCCTCATTCTCACACCCACTAGCGCTTGAGTAGGGGAGCAAGGAGGGGGCGGGCCAGGCCCAGCCCCTGGGGCGGCTCCTTTTAAGAGGGGTCACTTTCACCCGCCCTGAGAGTCCACGCAGGATGGTGGCGTGTCCCAGCTGCCCTCTCAGACACCTGGCCACACTAAGTGGTCCCCTTCCACTCTCCTTCCCTGCATTAGATACAAACAAGTGCAGAAAACCTTGTGAGGTTGAGGGGGAGAGGTCTCCGGGGTGTCTCTTCCCCTCGGGGCTCGCGGCTGGGTACTCGGGATCCCAGCCGGGCTCTCCCGTAGGCGAGCCAGCTTTGGAAACGCATGGCTGCCACCTAGAGGCTCAGAGGCTTCACTGCAACCCAGCCCGGGCTGGCTAAGGAAGGAGCCAGCAGGACTCTGGTCAGCGACCACTCCAGGCCCAACTCTGGTCTCCTGGCTTGAGACTTGCTGCCCTTCGCATGCTAAGCAGTTTGACTCCTTTAACCAGGACCCCTCTGAGGACATCTCTTCTCACCGCCTCTGCCCCTTTTGAGGCGTTACTCTTATCCTCCCCACCAACCTCAAAACGATGTTCTTGTCACATGCAACCGCTGGACTCTGGAGCCCAGACGGCAAGTCTCTGAACAAGCTCAAAAAAACAAAACCCAGGAATCCAAATTACTGGGTTTAAAACCTCCTTGTGTCATTGGCTGGGGTTGATGTTCCCATTTCACTGGCGTGTAAACTGAAGTAGGTGCTATTGAACACTGCTATTCCCTAGTCATGGAATATGAAATGGCAACAATTGCCCAAAATATCAGGCCTCTCGGCCAGCCATGTGAGGCTCCCTTTCAAAGCTGAGGCTGTCTTAAACAGATAGCCTGTTTCAGCATTGGACACAAGTGCAGAAAACCTTCTCAAAACTAGCTGCCAGCCCTGACTGGTTTGGCTCAGTGGATAGAGCGTCGGCCTGCGGACTGAAGGGTCCCAGGTTCGATTCCGGTCAAGGGCATGTACCTTGGTTGTGGGCACATCCCCAGTGGGGGGTGTGCAGGAGGCAGCTGATCGATGTTTCTCTCTCATTGATGTTTCTAACTCTCTATCCCTCTCCCTTCCTCTCTGCAAAAAATCAATAAAATATATGTTAAAAAAAAAAAAAACTAGCTGCCAAGTGATGGGGCAAGTTCTTGTGTGAAGTGCTGGGCTGAAGATACTTAGACATTCTCATTGCCAGAACTGGACTTGCGGTTACTGGTAAGTCCCAAGTCCTAGAGAAAACGAACCTACCCCAAGATAGGTGCAATGGCCAGATGCCACAGTTATGGACAGAAATGCCCTGCCAGGCCCACACCATCACCACCATCCTGGAGCTTGCGTTTGTATGAAGAACTCTGACAGACCAGTCAAGAGGTAGTTTTGGCCAATTGCGGTGTTTGAAGTATCTCCTGTCTAAGAATCTTCCAAGTTTTCTATCCTGTTCTCTATTACTTTTGGATGGAATAGGTCTATATGTTCTAAAATGCTTGCAATTCTTTTCAATGCTCGAAGCATATTTGTCCATCTCACAAATAAGACTGTCACTCAAATACAACTGACCAAAGAGTTGTCAAGAGAACAGTTCTGAGTAAGGATACAAACTCAAGTCAGAGGTCCTAGATTTGAGTATTGCTTCTAACATTTACTTATAAACTACAGCAAGTCTGTGCTTCCTACCAACAAACCATGGCTAAGAACAGTAACAACTCAGTTGTGTTACTGAATGAGGTCAGGCACACATGAAGGCTCCAGGAGTTTTTAGCTTTTATTAATTTGCTCATTATGATTTTCAGGTTATTTTCACATTGTTTTCATTTCATGAAGTTGGGAGGTGGGAGCATGCTCAATTTACAGTTGAAGGTGTTCAACCTGACTCCAAATCCAGTCATTTTATATAGAGTTCACATAACATACATGAATCTTAAATGTTCTTTCCATCTGAATATGGCGTGTTCATATAGCACTTAGTATGTGCCACTATTTGTCATTTCTCAATTTAATTAGCACTTAGATCCTGTGTAGTGGGTCCTGGGTGAAGAAGGCCAATAAGCAGAGCTGACCGTGCAAAGGAATATTCCAGGCAAAAGACGTCAATGCCTGCAAGTAGGAAAAGGCTGGGTGGCAGGCAGGGTTGGCCAGGGGGAAGAGTGGGAGGAGATGAGGGTGAGAACAGGCGATGCTTGGTCATCCTTTGCAAAGGCCTTTTTTCCTAAAAGGTACTATTTACATAAAAAATGTAAATGCATGTTTCAAGTGTACTTGGAGTTTAACAAATGGAGTTTAGTTATGCAAACACCTTTCCAGGTAACCTCCCCACACCCATCACTCGACCCAAGTTACCATTAATCTATTGGCTCTAGATTCTAGTTTCACATAATGGAACCATATATTATGTGCTTGTGTCCAGCTCCTTTTGCTCAGCATGTTTTTGAGACTCATCCTTGTCTGTTGTTGCTTTTATCTAGATGTTCCTTTTTATTGTCAAGTAGTACTCAACAGTGAGGATATACCAGCTTGTTTGACAATTTATCAAAGGCTTTGAAACTGAAGGTTAAACTCGTTTTTAGAAACTGCAGGTGAACTAGCAGCACGTAACAGTGGCAGCAGGGAGCAGGCTGCCAGTCCAGGCCAAAGTTCGGTAGTTGGGATTAGGTGGCCGTGCTAGTCCTGCTGGAACCATCAGACCTGCATTTCATCCCCAGCTCTAGGCTAGTGAACTCTCAATTTTCTGAGATTCACATCTCACATCTGCAAAACCCCTGGTTGCCTTAAGGGAAATTGAGAAGGTATGTTGACTGCTAGCCCAATGAATGTCAGCCCCGCAGGACAGGTACCTGCTTTGCTTACTGACTAGTCCTAAACACTTGATAGTCAGTATATATCCAAACTAGAGGCCCGGTGCATGACATTCGTGCACTGGGGGTGGGGGTGGGGGTGTCCCTCAGCCCAGCCTGCGCCCTCTTGGTCCAGGAACTCTCAGGGGATGTCCGACTGCCAGCTTAGGCCTGCTCCCCCCCGAGGGGTCCTTAGCAGTGCCCCAGAGGCAGGTGACTCCCACCACTGCAGCTGCACTCGCTGTGCCAGCCAGCCGTGAGCCCGGCTTCTGGCTGAGCGACACTCCCCATGTGGGAGCACACTGACCACCAGGGGGCAGCTCCTGCGTTGAGTATCTGCCCCCTGGTGGTCAGTGCACGTCATAGCATCCGGTCAATTTGCATATTAGGGTTTATTATATAGGATGTTTAGATCCTTCCTATCTCATTTTCAAGTGAAAGTTAAACTAACAGCATCTCAATCTGTTTCAGCCTCTCTCCAATGATAAAACTCTTACCTGATAAGACACTTGTCAGGTAATCTGCAGAATACAAACTTTTTAAACAAAGATGGGAGAACCTTCAGCCCAAGACCATAAGACAAATGCAGCCTTCCAGTTTTCAAGAGGATCAAGCAGTTTAATAAGAAAAGTACACCCTTAGCAGAGGAGGCTCTAAAATTTTCTCAAAACCACCTCTTGAAGCTTTCACAGCACTAAAACAGGACCTCTACTGCCAAGTTTGAGTCAGGGAGCAACTGGCTCCTTGGTGAGAAATGGCTGGAAGACAGCCTTAACTTTCAGAAATAACTTTAACTCTATCATCTCAATAGCCCACACCACTCATTATCTTTGATTAGTAAGCTCAGTATTTGTGACCCTCAAAATTTTGCCCTTGAATAAAAGCCCCACACCCTTGACAATGTTTACCTTCCTTCATTGAGCTAGTAGTCAAAACCATATACTCCCTTCTGCACGCTTTGTGACATACCACTACAAACCTCCATCCATCACGACCCATCATTTTGCACGATCCAGTTCAAACAGCCCAATCTGCTCTCCCCAAACGGCCTTATTAACCTGTTGTTCTCTGGTGAGGCTGAAGGTAACAGCTCTAGTTCTCACCCATGACCTAACCTTACACGATTAAGGCATCAAATGAAGAGAAGCTTCCTGCAGCCAGCCTCCAAGTGCTCTTACAATCCCCCGCTTGCTTTTCCCAAAGGGTTTGATCTGCTCATCCAGTCAGCTAATCATCAACAAGCAGTGCTCTCACCCACTGTGGTCTCTGAATACCACTGTTTTCTCAAGAACCAAAGCTCCTTGGAGAAATGGATCAATCCAGGTCTGAGAAAATGAAGATGCTTGACATCAAAGACTACTGGAGTCTGTGATGGTAGGAGCAAGCTTGAAGGGGATTCCGTTGCACAAAGATAAAATACACTGGACTGAAACACAAATACCTAAAAGTCTGGATTCAGGATACTTAAACTCACTAGTTACTCTGAGGTTGCTAGGACATGAATCCATCATCCTGAAAATTGGCAAAATAAAACATCAAAAATATTTTTCAAAGTTAGGTACAAATGGAGGCAATAAAAGTGGGGATTTTAAAGAAAATGCTTGCAGAATAATGAATGGTATTTTGCTTAGGCTAAATCGTTTAACGTTCATGTTCAGTAGACTGGCTTATGGGAAATACAGTTGATTCAAGCAGCAAGTACTTTAAAAATGCAAACTGCAGACCCACCTAAAGCCAAGTAGTATCCTAGTGAAGGTACTATAAACCCCAAATTTGATAATAAACCAGCTTCTCTTTCAGCTTCCTCCACTATTGATCAAGATTTTTTTACTAGGAAACACAGGAAATCATTTTTTCCCTTACTGGTCTTAGAAAACTTAAAAAATGCTGATTAAAAACAAAACTTTGTTTTCCATAATAGGCACCTTAATATTTGCTTTTAGCAATTAAACCTACATTGACCCAAGTATGGCCACATTACCAGTCTGCACTGTGCTAAGAAGTCAGTTTTTTAAAAAGGTTATTTTCTGAGTTACAAAGCCTAGGAGTTCCATTTTCAGATCACTGTCATACTGAGTTGGCTGACGTGTAACTATCACTACTAGTGACTGCTGGGGCAGAGGAATCTTTAATTTCTGTATTTCCAAAAAACTAAGCCCGACCTAAACATTTTTCAACCGTGGACCTGATTAGCTCTTTAAAATAAGCATGAACCACCAGTAAGGCCAATTGCTTTCCCTCAGAATGGTGAAGTCCTTTTGGGTTTTAAACCCGTTTAAAAGTGCTAATCAGCCAAACCAAAAGTTAAGGTTTAACTCCTACACAAAGCACTAAAACACTAAAAATTTCAGACCTACTTTTGGTTGACATTTATACTACTAGTAAACTTCTACTTCTGAACATAAGTAACTAATACTAACAATTACCTACCATACTCCAGTATCACACACAGCAACCTTTGTAATTAATATGCAGGTTGGTTGTAGTGTTTTACTTGGGATTGTCTGATCAATTTAAACGTTTTTTTAAATACAGGAACTTTCCAGTGAGGCAGTTTACCTTCTACTGAGCCTCCGTTAATAAAAGTAGAGGGAAGTTTAAAGGACAGACTGTCCTGGAAAGAAGTGATCAATGAAGAAAACTATAACCTGAAGTAAATGAACTGACACCTGGAACTGGGACTCAACAGCTAAGTACTGCACCAATCTTTCCCCCACCCTCTAAACCAGTGGTTCTCAACCTTCCTAATGCCGTGACCCTTTAATACAGTTCCTCATGTTGTGGTGACCCCCAACCATAAAGTTATTTTCGTTGCTATTTCATAACTGTAATTTTGCTACTGTTATGAATCATGTAAATATCTGATATGCAGGATATATTTTCATTGTTACAAATTGAACATAAAGCATAGTGATTAATCACAAAAATATGTAATTATGTATATGTTTTCCGATGGTCTTAGGCGACCCCTGTGAAAGGGTCGTTCAACCCCTAAAGGGGTCGCGACCCACAGGTTGAGAACCGCTGCTCTAAACCAAGGCTACCCTGGAAAATCATCCAGATTAAAAGGCTGCAGACCACATCAAAATGTACCTGGAATTGTATAGGCTGGTGCCCACTCCTAATCAATATAGAAGATAAAACAGACTGAGGGAGGAAAAAGAAAAATGGGTAAATAGTGCATGGAATGGGAGAAGAGCATTTGGAAAACACACACACACACACACCAACACAAATTTGAAGTCAGTAAATAAAATCTCTCTCCTAAAGTTTAAACAAAAAGGAATGAGAAAAACATCCAAGAGAATCAAACAGAAGGCCTATGAATGAATGGGAGTTAAGTGGGAGGCTGAAATCTCTCAAGAAAAATGGTCCAGAATTAGAGACTGTGGAGAACAGACTCAGTCTAGCCAAGGCCCAGAACAAGATTATAAAACACATAAAATCTGAGAACCTGCAACACACACACACACACACACACACCCTACTCCTGGTCACATGCAAAATACATGAAGCCCTAGCTGGTTTGGCTGTGAATAGAGCTTTTTGGCCTGCAGTCTGAAGGGTCCCAGGTTTGAGTCCAGGTCACGTGCCCAGATTGTGGGCTCAATCTGGGGGAGGGGAGGGTGCAGCTGAGAAAGTAGTTCATTTTCTGTTCTGGTTAAATAGGGGGTCTGATGGACCATTTGGAAACACATTAGCATGGTTACAATTAACTACTATCAGGAGACAAGAAGGTATAAGCACTAAATACATGAGAAGTAGATTGGTTAAGCTGTGAGAAGCCTAACTACTTAGAGGTATAGAGCAGGGACTATTTCTCAAGAGATTTTAGGATACTATTTGACACTTAATTGTGTACATTTATTTCTGACAAAGTATAAAGAGAATAAATAATAGAGACAGTGCTACTTTATTAAAATACTGAGTTTTATTTCACATGTATATTTTTGTCTCCCCACCATTCCCATTTGTCTGACCACTACTACTACTATGTCCTATCATAACATTCCATACATACTTAAAACCAAGCAAAGGGTGGAGTTCCATCTTTAAAAACTAAACAGGCATTTTGGACAACACATTCTTGGCAATGGAACCTGGACAACATTTATCAGACACGGTAGGGTTCGTTCTCACTCTGCATTATAAAAAGGACAGCCAGATATCAACTGTTACAGAAATGAAATAAGACGGAAAATTTTAACAAACTGTTTAAACTATTTTCTTAAAGAGACTTCCTCCACTGCCAGAGATCTTGAATAGCCTGGAAAAAAAAAAAAGAAATGTGGTTAAAGAACCACAGCACTTCACAGACAACCAATAAATTAAACCACGTCTCTTTTGTACAGCTCAACATACCCAGTTTTCATTCTACCACCAAAAAGGTTCACTCAAGATCAGCCGTGGGCAAACTACGGCCCGCGGGCCGGTTCCGGCCCGTTTGAAATGAATAAAACTAAAAAAAAAAAGACTGTACCCTTTTACCCTTTTATGTAATGATGTTTACTTTGAATTTATATTAGTTCACACAAACACTCCATCCATGCTTTTGTTCCGGTCCTCCGGTCCAGTTTAAGAACCCATTTTGCCCACCCCTGCTCTAGATAATTAAGATTTTTTACGAGTCAAAAAGTTTGCCCACCCCTGCTCTAGATAATTAAGATTTTTTTAAAAACTTATACAAGGGAAGTATCATTGTCAATTTCTACTTATAGATGATTTCTATAGGGCGGAGCAAAAGTAGGCTTATAGTTGTGAATATGCAAAACACAGGATTCTTGTATTATAATTTACTGTAAAGTAATTACATTTGTCCCACCCTGTACTTGTTCTCATGCTGGTAATTCAGCAACATCCATGTAAAAATAAAACTGTTCAAGCGATACAAAAATCTATTTCATGAGTCATGGTAAGTACAGTATAATCTACTTCAAGATGGCATTTTTCTATTCATAAACAATGTTCTTTTTAAAGAACAGTCTTGATTTTTTTTTCAGCTCTTAATTCAAGAGTTTCTGCAGAAATTTTCTATTTCTCAAAGTCCATCTGGAAGGGATTTTACTATCCAAATCCTCACAAGCAACACTTTTTTATACGGAAAACTGCGTGCACAAGCAATGGGAAATTTTTTATAGTGCCTACTTGCATCTGTAGCTATGCCATAAAAACGTGAGACATTTAGTTTTGATCATCTCTGTAGTAGTAACCTGAGCTATTACATTCTTTGCTATTGTAGAAATTTCATCCTGGTACTTTTCAGAAAACAGTGAAGAAAATACTTGGAGTCAGAAAATACTTCTGTTAGCAGTGAGTTCATGGTTTCAGCTGCAAGACTGATGTTACGCTGTGTGGACGGTCCTTGCACCTTTATCACTTTTTGTCTTCACCTGAATTTCTCTTAATCAAAAATCCCAGTCTGCCACTTTCCTTGGTACAGGGTGAAGAAATCCTTTCTCTTACAGTTACCTGCTAGTACATGCTGGTTTCTGACTTTCCACCATTTCAACATTAACAACCGCATACAGCAGTTTTCAAAATGTTTATTAATAAGTGTCAACTATTCAGAAAACTTTCAGAATTTTGAAGTTCACATACACACACACACACACACACACACACACACACCAGAACAGCCAGAAGAATAAAAATGGTTGAACTTGACCATCTCCTAGCCACGAAGTCAATCAAAGCTGAACTCACAATCAACCAACCATAAAGTGTTTAACTATTGAAAGGGTTTCAAATCTGAGAAAAATAGTGTTGCAATTTATGTAATTTAAATACCAAATATTGTGGTAGAAAAATAGCTGACAAATTCTTTATTAAAAAAGCTGAAAAGACTTAGGGAGCCCTGAGAGAAACAAACCTTAGGCTATGTCTGGTATATACACAATACCTAGTAACCCTATGTAACTACTTTTGTTTTCCTTTACAACTTATGAGTCACTAATTGTGAACGAGACAAAAATTAATACATCATTTTCCATTGATAAAATACCTTTACTTGTAAGAACAAAAAGTCTACGTTGACTCAAGCTAAAATATCGAGCATTAAGTACAATTTGGTTTCTTGCTTCCAGATTTTAAACTTTAGGTTCATTTCAGCAAAATGTGCTTCCCATAAGATCTATGGAGAAATGGGTTCCCTCTGCCAACTCACAGGAAAGCGAAAGGCCAGACTGCCCCAGCAGCCAAGTGGAGCAGCAAGGAAAGCCACAGCTCAGGTCCTTAGCCAACATAGTACCAACAGTAAAACTGAGCTCACTGACAAAGAGGTAATTTACCAACTATATAAAAGTTGGGGAAAAGATACTAAAAAAGTTATCTTCTCAGTCTCTGCCAACTAAATTCTTAAGCATTTCCATGTATTCAATCTGAAGTATTGTCTGTGGTTAGGAATCTTTTAAAAAAGCAGCCAAGATTTAAAGAGACTAAAAGAATCATAATAAATCACAATAAAAAAAAATTGGATTAGGTCATGTCTTGAGAAAACTCAGTTACCTCCACGTCAGTCATCCGGAAGCAATTCTTCACATAATTAATGAACTTGGCTTCCACTTTGGGAAGAGAACCACCCTATTGAGACAAAAGCATTATTAAGGGTAAGTATATAAGCACTATTTGTAAGCTGTTATGAAATTCCTCATATTTGCATGCTATTATTACATGGATCATCAGTTCATTCCTTGTCCCTCCAATTCTTTAAAAACATTGACTACATCTGGGTCTTTCAGGTCCAGAAAGACCTACTGAGCAACTCTTAGGACCTAGGTCTTTCATATCACTCCCATACTGACCGGCTTTGCCAGTTTTAAATTCTCCCCCAACTTTTAAAGTAAATATAAAGTACAAGCCATGCTTGAGATTCTTCAGGCGCTCAAATGTCAACTTGACTGCCCGCTATATAATCTAACAATTCAGTTTTATCACCACCCTCATCCACCCAGAACCAAATACGAAACAAAGCAAATACACACCCCTTTTCAGTACCATATACACGTCACCAAAACTGTTAATAGATCACTTTAATACGTACTAAGAACCTAGGCCCAGCACAATACTAACCTGAGTCAATTCAGGGAGCATATGAATGAGGGGAAAATTAACGTGACATTTCATTCATCTCAAACTAAAGTTTAGCATTTCCTTCAATTATGGGCACAAGGAAGAAACTATAATAGTGTTAGCACCAAATTATTTTCTAAGAATTACAATTATGAAATCTTTATCACTACTTTGGAATTATTTAATGTGCAACTAAGTATATCACCTTTGTTTCCTATTTTGATAATTAAATTATTTTCCCCAGTAACTTGAATCCTTTTATGCATTTTAAAAATCAAAAGACTTCAGGAATGCTAAAGGGACCATGGCATGAAGTAGGTTAGGGTTCAGGTATGGTATATTATACTTAATTGCCTCTATCACCTAGAAAGTAATTTCCATTTTTAAATTATTGTCACATACATTCTTCATTCATTCATTCAAATATTTATTGAGCAGCTAGGGAGATACAAAGGTGTTTAAAACGTGGTCAAAGAGGCGAGATAAATGAACAAGTCAAGAAAAGTTCACTGAATCACAGCAAAAGAAAGGTGTCTTTCAAGGAGCCTGAGATTGCTTCCAGCCTGGAAGGGGGCATGGGTGAGTGATAAACCGGGAAAGGGCATTGAGATTAAGATAGAAGACTTCAGTCTGGATTGTTGATGATACACTCAGTATGGACTATATTTGTGTCTCCTTTTCCTCTTTCCCCATCTTTGGGCTTAATTTACCAGTAGTGCCCAGGATTGTTCAATGCGCCTGCAATTAAACCAAGGAGATAGGTCCATATTAAAATGCGGGGGAGGGGTATCTAAAAGGTTATTTTAGCACTGTATGCAAGGGATAAATAAAGCAGCGATACGAGGAAGGCAAAAAGGTTTACAGTAGTACAAAAGCAAAATCAAGAGGTACATTCAGGCTCTAAAATTTTATTTTTCCAATTGACTTGACTCATCTCTGCACAAGGAAAGGAAACCTACGCACACAGGAAAACATGGGGAAAGAAGTCAGCGACTTTCCTCACCACCCCAATTTACTCTCAATAACTGGAGTCTAAGTAATATTATCTATAAATTAATGCTTTTCTCAAATCTATAAATTAACGCTTTTTCTCAAATGTGTTTCAAGATATTTAAGTCAATTATCCCATACTCTTCAAGTCCAGAGTTCACGGAAATTTACTTTAGTGCCCTGGTCAAGTAGTAGAATGAGTTAATCCTCTTCTCACATTCTCACTATTTAAGACAAAAAGGAGACTAAATAAAAACCTATTACAGTCACTAAAAAATTCAAGATACAAATATATCAACTGGTGACACCTTGGTATAAAAGAAATGACTCAATTTTTTGGAAAATGTTTTTGACTAGTCAATCCTGAGTTTTTGTGTTTTTTTCACTACAACACCAGCAGCCAAAGACTGTCTCTGCTTTTCCAGCTGTTTCATAAAAATTAAGACTCATACGCCCTCTGCTGGCTCTACAGCATCTCACAACCAGAAGATCAGGTAAAGGGAAGTCTTGTTTGTTCTTGTTGATCTCATTTTAGCATCTACGGTCAGAATGCATCTTACAACCAACTTACTTGTCTTTTTTTGTAATGAAAAAATAAAGCACATGTAACTTCAAACATGCAAAAAAAAATCACCAGAGATTATAAATGATTGTAAATAATCCATTTCTAAAAAATTTTCATATCACGATCAAGGAACAAGTGTGTATTAAGGATACTGCTATTCCAAACCTCCAAAAAAGATAATTTGAGTGAGTGGTAAATAAACCTATCTAGTTTTTTAAATATAATTTTACTCACCTTTTCTATACTTGCTTGCATTTTTGCTTTAATGTCTTCTATAGAACTAGGTCCTTTCGGTGTTTTAGGAGTTTTTTCCTGTTTTTTGAAGGATTCTTGACCCTGGAAAAAGTTTAATTCCAAAAAGTTTTAAGAAAACAGCTCTTAAGACCCAGCCTACCTAAATGTTTTGTGAAGTTATTCTTACAATCCTTTCTTACAAACACTAGTAAACAACAAGACTTGAGTTGCTATTACAAATGAATGCAGAGCTGAACAATTTTTTTTAAGTCATTCCTTAAAAAAAGGAATAGGGATAGTCGGTGCCCACATTTATATTCAACACCAGGTCAGTTCTAGACTTACAGGATTCCATCAAAAAAGAAAACAGAAGACCCCTATGCATGAAGCAAAAACAATGCAGCTTGATGCCTGGGGCCCATCCTAGAGCATTTAAATAACCTCAGCCCAGGTATTGGGGTGGGTGGGGGAGGGGGTTTCTTTTAAGCTCCTTACTTGATTCTAACATGCAGCCAGGTTTGAGAAACTACACCATGTAATACATTTACCTTTCAACAAGCAAGATCCCTTACAGGAGATAATTTTATATCAAAGTGAAAGTATTGCTGTTGGCTTTCTCCCCCACTAGAAAAACAAGCAGCTACACACACAGGACAGTGATCATCGACAAGCACATTTGGCTCTTTGAAGACACCATTACAGTTGTTCTCCAAAGGCCTATCAACTTCCAGACAGACTACATTCGTCCATAGCAGAACCTTTAACTTTTCTAACTAGTTCAAAGCAGCCTGGATTTGTATGTTTCCACTTACTTTTGATCTTGGTGTTGATGGTTTTGAGTCTTTTCCATTCTGATTTGATTTTTGTGCATTTTTGGCTGGAGTATCTCGTATGGACTGTAATTAAAATTAATCATCATCAAGACACGTAACAAGAGTACATAAAACTACCCCAAAGCATGGAAGAAAAGCAACCGTTTTGATGTTGCAAAAGGGTTAGCAAAGAGGAAAAAAGCCACATGAATAAAGAAAACAAGTCCTTCCCGACTATTAGAAAAGTTTTCAGGTCAGCCCTACTCCGAACCAATTTAAAGTATGAGAGCATCATTTCCTCCTAAAGCCAGCTTTCATTCACTAGAAGTCAATAGCACTAAAAATTTTCCATCATTTTCTATTAGCTATTTCTGACAATCTCATAGCATTGTATATCCTACTTACTTTCTTTACTGGAGCTTTTTCTTCTGCTTCCTCATCATCAAAATCATCATCATCATCACTACAAATGAAATAAGTAACTATTATTTGAGCACTCAACAAACAAAAAACCTACCTAGAAATTGGTTGTATCTACAATAAATCAAGACATTAAGAACTTTTAAACTTTGGGGGGTGTCAAGAGTCAAAAGCAGGATCTTGAAAGACATGCATATTCATGTTCACTACACCATCTATAATAAAATATGCTAATTAGACCAGACGAAGGATGAAGCCGGGGCCAAGGCCGGAGTAAAGCCCAGTCCTGGAGGCAAGCCGGTGCCAGAAGGCCTACTCTTGCAGGAATTTTTGTGCATCGGGCCCCTAGTTATTCGTAATTGCCAAGAGGTGGAAGCAACCCATGTTCCTCAATGGTTAAATGGATAAATTAAATGTCACATGTACACATGACATATTCCGTCTTAAAGGAAATCCTGTCACATGCTGCACATGGATGAACCTTGAGGACATCATACTAAGTGAAAGACAGTAACAAAAAAGGCAAATACTACACAATTCAACTTTTGAGTCATCTAGAGTAATCAATATCTGCAAGACAAAGACCCCAGAAGGTTATAAAAAGTGAAGCCCTCTGTGTGTTTCTTCACTCTGATTTGGAAATTATTCCCGGAGTCCACTAGTGTTAATAAGCAGGGCCCGGAAAAAATTGTTTGAGTAGAGCTCTTAATCTTACCTCAGAAAGGCTCTGATACTGTGCTCTCCAGGGGCGTGTCTCCCTACATCACCACGATAACGTGTCTATGCATTCCCAGGGTGTGTCGGGAGACACATCCGAGGGCATTACAAGGAGCCTCTGTAAGATTGAGAGGTTGTTCCTTCTACTGAATGGGCGGATATAAATCCACCCACTCAGAAGAAGGAGCTGCAGCCGTGTTTCCTGACATTGCCATGTTAACACTGCTGCTGGTGAAGGAGCAGAGGGGAGAGCAAGAGAACCCTCCACTCTTTCGGCTCAGCGGGCTGGATAGAACAGCCGAACCGGCCGGATCCCGCCCATGGGCCGTAGTTTGCCCACGGCTGTATTAGATGTTCACTTGTAAACCTACACAAAGGTAACTTGAAATCACCAGATTAAATAAACTCAAGCCTAATTAAGCACCCAGATTTCCCATTCCTCTTGGTATATTATTTTAATCCTTACTAATGGCAAATATTCTAACAGCAAACACCCATTACATTGGGTTGGACACAAATTTTCCTGAGTATTAAACTCTCATCCTTTCCTTATTTTCTGCCTCTACTGGCATGCTCGAAGGGCTTTATAAAGATCTTCCAGCTTGGCCAGGTGAGGTTGCTGAAAACCTCTCTTCCAGAGTTGATCACATTCTTCTCAGTCTCTCTCTAATTCTATCTAAATGTTAATTAATATATGGACCAACCTAGGAACTCAGGGACAAACGGGCAACTAAAAATTCTAATGTATTAAAAGTTACTGATACTATTGCATATAGGAAAACCGTAAGAAGCACTTTTTTTAAATCCTCTCGGTGGATTTTTTTTAATTGACTTTAGAGGGAGGGGAAGAGAAACATCTTTTAGTTGCCTTCCATATGCATCCCGACTGGGAATGGAACCCTCAACCCTTTGGTGCATGCGACAACACTCCAACCGAGCCACCCAACCAAGACATGAATGGCACTTTATTCCCCAGTGTGCACCTAGTATTTGCCATTGCCTTAGGTTAGCAAACACATCAATTCTTGTTTCCAACCTAATTTTAAATTCTCCATGAAAATCCTATTCTCTTTAGAATCTTAATTTCTCAATAAGGACCAGAGAACCAGGAGCCAAAGTCTTTGGAGGGTGGGGATCCAGAAGTCACAACTTACGAAATGAATGTAGCTAGAGCTATTCTGAGTCTCTTTCCACCCAACCCACTTATCATAAACTATTCAGCATAAAATACACCAAACCGGTAGCCACAGTCATGTGACCACTACAATATTCCTCAGGAAAAAGGTACCTTGTCAAACATCAGGGAAATACTTCTGAAAATTCTCAATGCACTGCAGCACTTTTAAGGTTCATAGTTCCAACAGTATCCTTTAACTTGGCTCATTTAACCCAGAATGACAACCTCTGACCATTTACCCTTTATTTAAAGCTATTACCCAATTCCACAGGAAGATTTTGGAAAATAATTTTCTTAAAACACCCCATAACAACATTGTCAAGCTTCTAAGTCCATACTTACTCTTCATCATCATCATCCTCCTCATCATCATCCTCATCATCTTCATCAGCAGCAAGTTTTACTTTTTTCTTTAAAAATAAAAACAACAAGACCTCATGAGCAAGTGCCCAAACTGAAGGCCAGAATGAGATACCTGTAATAAATAAATTACATCCCTACCTGTGGGACCTTGCTGCCACCTCCAGGGGCTGACCGCTTTCCAGACATACTTAGGAGTTTCACATCCTCCTCCTCGTCATCTTCTGACTCTGCATCTTCCTCCACAGCTAAAATAAATTTAGGAGGCACTACTAAAACTCAACTCAGAAGCAATAGCTCACCAAAAAGGGCATTAATATATAATGAGTATTTAAAAACAGATTCTACTACTTAAAAAAGGCAAAAGCAAACACATTTTACAAAAAGGAACTGTGGGGCCTAACACTCATTACTAGGTTTTAAATGCAAAGTAACAGGTGTTTCCAGTTATAAATTAGTAATATAACTACTAGATTCCCATTTGAACCTACTATAAAGACAATAGTCCAGCAGGAACAAGGTAACTGCATAAAAGACAACAAAAATAACATACCTACTAAGTGCTGTCCACTAATATGCACAGGCCCTGAACCACACTTCAACCGTAAGACCACAGGTGGTGTTATTTCAAAGCCACCAAGGGAAACCTAAAAGAGATTTGAAATCAATAAATATTGTACAGAAAATAAAAAGTTAAATGTTTTGGTATAAAACCTGCTCATAACTTACAAATGTTTGTGTTAACAGGCATGACAGGCAAATCCATAAACGAAATGAACAAACCAATGAACCCGTTTTCCCACCTGATACACAAGAGCAATCACCATGTCCCAGTGTTCACCATTCAACCCCGCAGCAACAAACCAAGCCTATCTCCCTGGGGTAACCTGCCTTACTGCAACAGAATTAGACCCTGCCATGAAATCCAAATTACAAGTGTCCTTACCGTTGGCTGTACAGACATTTTCAAAGTTGCCAGTGTTACTTTAATTGGACTGCCTTCGTAATTCATTGCCTCTGCTTCAACAATGTGCAGTTCATCCTTTGCTCCAGCCCCTAGACTGACCTGTGAACAGAAAAATAGCACTTCAACTTAAGTTTCTATATCATACAATCCCCCCCAAAAGTTCTTATGTTAAAAACAAGTTACTTATAAACTTTTCGCTATTACCACTGATGGAAAACTAATTTGTGCACAATGTTGCTTTCAAGTTTTATGGGACTTTTACAATCAATTTCTCATTTAGTAAATTTGAACAAATGCATAAAAATGCATTAGATGACATACAGGGTGTCCCAAAAAATGCATACACACTTTAACAGCTGATAGCTCAATTTTGAAAATGAAATGCATTTTAACAAACACTGTCTTTATAATTATTCAAAGCGTGTGTATATATATTTTTTTGGGGGGGGCGACACCCTATAGTTGTACATGTCATCACCTATCCACAGTATGATTACCCAACATTTATTGACCACCTTCAAGTTGAGCAGTCTCTGCAGGGGACAAAGAACATTTTACCCTAAAAACTTTTATAAGGCAGCGGTTCTCAACCTTCCTAATGCCTCGACCTTTTAATACAGTTCCTCATGTTGTGGTGACCCCCAATTTCATTGTTACAAATTGAACATAATTAAAGCATAGGGATTAATCACAAAAACCAAATGTAATTACATGTTTTCTGATGGTCTTAGGCGACCCCAGTGAAAGGGTCGTCCAACCCCCAAAGGGGTCGCGACCCACAGGTTGAGAACCGCTGTTATAAGGCATCTTAAGTTTATAAACATAAAAAGTGAACAGTAGTGTAACTGGACTTTTACATGATTACCAAAGGAGTAGTAAAAATACCAAGTTTTGTATCACAGGTATACAGAAAATCAGTATACAATACCCAGTTATAAAAATTAAGTATTAAGCCACTCAAATAGGAACTAAGGCTGAAATCGAGAAAGGTTTAGTAGTTTATTTTTAAAAGTTTAAGTACCGTTCGTAAAGATAATTGGTGCTCATTTTCATCATTGTCCACCTTAAAGTGGTAATCTTTGTCGGCCTTTAGTTCACAACCTGTAAATGAAGAAAAAGAGCAACTATAACATGGAGAAAAAAAACACTGAAACTTCAGTGTGGGTAACCAAAAAGGAAACAATTAACTTGTGGCTTTTCACTATTCTACCAGGCCTCTCTTCCTAGATTTCTTGAACACAAATGCCTACAATCAAATAACATCCATACAGGCCTTAACATATCCCCAGGACATGTCTAGTCTTGCCTTAAACATAATTTCTGAACATAATTTAATGTACATCATTCAACTGTATGCTGACATATCCTAGGGAATAGTTCCAATACAAAGGGTCAACAAAAATATCTTGCTATAAATTGACCAGAAACCCAGCTAATTCAAAATGGCTAGAAATAAAAGCATTAACGTATAGTGCATATTACCTATTCCACCAATAAGCAAATTGTTTTAAGTACCATCAGAGTAAAACCTTAATTAATTTAAATGATCCCATTTAATTGCAATCTAATAGTTACTGGTACATAGATGCTTAAATGTTATTGCTCAATTAACAAACCTCAGCATGGCATAAGAAACCAAATAAACTTGGGGGCAGAATGTGCCGTTACTTGAAGCCTGACTGAGACCAAGAAATGGCTTCACCACGTTTACTGAAAACCAATTCTGCTCCCTCCTTACTTAGTATGGTATGAATTGTGTCCTGGGAAGAGGAGGAATCCCAAAACCTTAGAGTATAGCAACAGTAACGGGTCTTATTTGACCCAACTTGAACCTTAGCACATGTCTCATCTTAAAAAAAAAAAAAAGCTGTTTGCTCGATTCCCCACATAAGTCACCCTCCTTCCAAAAAAACAAAAAATCATTTCTAATGCGCCAGCTCTGGCGTCCAGAACCGCGGCTTAGCTCCTCTGTACCTGCACGTGCAACCTTCCTTAAGTCTCTGAGCTCTGAGCATCACTGGCGTCACCTGCCTAGCGGGCCATCCCCACCTCCCGCGGGGAAGTCTGGGGAAAAGGCTCCGTAAATGAGGCTGCCCCGAACAAAGGCCTCCTCCATCCAGGTGCTACCAGCCACTTCACCCCCCATTTCCCACCCGACGGCCCCAATGGAGCCCCGGAATCCCGGGCTCAGGGGTGACAAGACACCCGTGAGCCCCGGATGCAGCGCCCCTACCCCTCCTTCCCCCAACCACGTGGCAACCACGTGCTCCCAGCGCCTGCGCCTCCCCTCCCCCTGGAGCCCGCCGAGGCCCGGGGGCTATCTGGGCTCCAGAATTCCTGAGGCCCGGAGAGCACCGCCGGGCGCTACCCGGCCTCTCCTCCTGGAACAAGGCCTGCACCGCACACCACGAGCCCCCACCGCCTCCTGCACCAACCCGGGGCCCTGCACCCAAGACACCGGCCGAGAATCAAAAGCCTACGAGCGCACACCCACCTTGGAAAGAATGATGCCCGGGGCTCTATAGTGTCCCCAGACAACGCTGAACCTCAGCCAGCCGGTTCCAAGGAGCCCCACACTACGGGTCTCAGCCCCCTTACCCCCAGGCTTCAGGAAGCCCCTCCTTCCCACCCCTGGGTGCTCACCCCTCCTGGTTCTCCATCCCTCCGGCTGCAAGGCCCTGGCGCCTCGCCTCCCACTCCCTCAGGCCTCCAGCCGGCCTCGCTTTCTCCCACAGCCCGGCCTCAGCCGCATTCCCGCCCCCCCATCTCAAAGCCACTAGGCCCCGCTCGGCCTCGCTCCAACCCCCCCGTTGTTACCGAAAAGGTAGTTCTGGGGCCTCAGAGGGCTCATGTCCATGTCCATAGAATCTTCCATGGGGTGGTAGCGCGCACGTAGGTGAGGGAGAAGGCGGGCGGAGACAAACGGCTTCCGCGCTGCAGCAGAGACGCGCAGGACGGAATCGCACCAGGGAAAGGACGCGGGCTCTCTGCGTACATATAAAGCACCAGCAGATCTCGCGAGAGTTCCCAGAGTCTCGCCGCTGCGCGCGTGCTCGAGAGCCCCTCTCCCCGCACAGCAGCCCTCCTGCGCAAGCGCCCTGCAACCCGACTCGTTCCTTCCTCGCCCCCCCGCCTCCTCCAGGTGCTCC